AAACATAACAGGAACAACAACAAAAAAGCAAAGGCCGAAAAAAAGAGTGGAAAATCAAACGAAGCTAGAAAAAGCAGTGGTTGCATGTGCTTGGACGGTAACAGAAACAGAAACAGAAACTGGGACTGGTACTGGTACTGGTAGTGGTACTGGCACTAAGGCACTGGCTGTGGCACTGGGTAGTTTGTTGCGGTTACAATTTGGAGCAGAGGCCGGGCCCCCATCTAGTTTTGATGAAATTGCTCGAAATAATAGGGTGCAAATGCTTCAGCTGCCTTCCACTGAAGCTGTTGCTGGACGGGCGTTTTTCTGTGTGTGTTGTGCCTTTTAACTCTTTCGCGCTTTGCTTTTTGGTTTCTGTGAAAGACCAGAGTCGTCACCAGCTCAGCTACCAGCTACCAACAACCATCCACCATCCACAAGCTCGACAGCTCGCGTGCTGGCTCCGATGAGAGTCAAAAGCAGTTGGCACAAAACTTTGAGTTTAAGCAGCGCAGCACACGCATAGAGACCGCCGCTCTGTTGGAGTTTCGGTTTGGGGTTTTATGTAAAAACAAGAAAAGAAACCCAAGAAAATGCTATGAAGACTAAATACCCTTCTACAAAATAGTATTAAGTTTGCCGATGATAAAATATATATCATAATTCGATGACGAAAATCATAAAAAGCATCGTCAGAACTGTGAGATCATTGTTATAATACAAATAATTAATATTAAACAAACATTTTAATTGTAAATATTTATATATTTATAATAATGTAACTTATAATTATTTAAATTAAAAATAAATACACTTATAATATATATAAATGTGTACAACGTCTTAGCAGGAAGCAGTCAAAATTACAATATCGAGACTTATTCAGTTAACCCACAGTAATATACACATCAATTTAAGTTTACACCAATCGTTTATTTCATCTGTAAGAGTATTAATACATGTGTATATCGTCAAAACTAGGTTGCAACATCAAAAAAAAAAAAAAATTGGTGCGGCTGCAGTGAAAGATTTGTGGTGCAGCGGCATTTGGGTCCGTTTGAAATTGGATCTGTGCTGTTGCTGCCGTTTTCCGGTTGCCGGTGCAGTTTGACTTGAAATTGCGGAAACAAGGCTGAGATTTCTATGTGGTTTGAATATGATTTGAATATAAAGAAATATTTGACTTCAAAGCCATCCAGCTTGCTTTTGTGGAATGTGAGCAAAAGAAATTTGGCCAGCGGTTTGGTATACGGATTGAATAAAGGGGTCGGCTTGAGAACCAGCTTTTTGGTATCCGTGAACTCAGCTTTTGGTTAGGATTTATTTTCCAATTTTAAATAAAACACATTTTATATACAAGTTTGCATAACAATGAATAAAAACACAAATATCTAAATATTTGGGCGTTCAATAAGTGTGCAATATGTACTTATATTTCTATAATAAAATGATCTATTTGACTATAAATCGTTGTGTGTTCTATAATATTTATGTTTGAACATGATCACATCTAACTTTGTATTTTTATAATTATTTAGTCAGTGTAAATAGTCAGCATGTATTTTTTATTTTAATGGCAAATCTTTTACAGTAGGTTCAGATCATGTTCAGTTATCAGATCATTTTAATAATCCACACTTTATGTTGGGAAATAGTTGACGAAACTTTAAAAATTTGCGACTGGGCCATTTTAGTAATATATATATATATATATATATATATATATACATTATGATTTAAGCTCGTTATATGTATATATACATATATGTATTATGCTTAACATACAAATACACAGAATCCCACAGTTTGAAGTTCTCTCCCTTTTTACCGTACACACTTATTTTCAAATCCAAAAAAAAAATAGTACACAGCACTTAACAAATGCGCTACCCTTTTAATAATAATTAAGTCATGCCCCTTACTTCGCATGTAGACCGAAACAATTTTAAAAATAATCTCGAATTAAATATGTATGCAAAACTCACACGAGACGTCAACATTCCCCGCTAACAAACTGGCCAAACTGATTATTTCTCTCTATGCACAAGGAACATTAATCTGCCCCTTACAGTCCCCAAATTGCCCTGCCTCCATCTCCATCTCCGTCTCCGCTCTTCGACTGGTTGACCAGCTCTTATAAATCAATTACTTTAATCAATTTTTAACACGTTCGCGTCTTTGCACCCAAGAGGGCGCCTTCTTTGGTTTGTTCATCCGGCGGTTTTTTCACATCATCTTTTTTGCCTGGTAATTTTTTGCTAAAATTTTAATTATAAAGATTAAATACGGGCTGGCAGAAGCGGTGAGCTGAAGAAATAGCAATGTGCGACTAACTAACCTGCCGTAACAAACTTGAAATAATATTCAAGAATTTTTATTGAAATAATAGCAGCGATGCAGGTAAAGACACAGACCCTGGCACAGTCACAACAGACAACAGGCACCCAGACAGAGTTACCCAGAACGAGTCGCAGTTCGTCAGAGCACATCAAAGGCGGAACATTCGTCTGGGACTGAACGAGATGGCTATGGTAGTTGTGATGGGGGCGACGACAGGCTGTCATCATTTCGAAGTTCTTTTTCTGACTTTTTTTCTAATTGAAATGTTTTGCACCACATTTCTGCGCATTACCACCTGCTGCTTTGGCTTCAGAGAAGCCGTCACTTCGCCAGTTTCCCATCTCTCAGGGCCCTTGTTACATAGCCATATTCTATGCTGTTGCATGCAACAGCAGCTTTGCTAAATATGTAGTTCACTGCCTGGTCTCGGAGCCTGCAAGCCAAACCGCAAGAACAATGCGCTGCACTGACCATCATCAATTTGCGAACTGCGCAACCGACCAACCACAACCATCATCATCATCGTCATCATCATTATCAACGCCAAGTTGAGCGCATGATAAGTTGCAGTTGAGAGACTCGATGCGATTATTTTTTCAATACTTTGGCATATTTCTATTCGTGTCAAAGTAAAAATATTTCACCTCCCTTTTTCTGTTAATGCCTGTTTTGTTGCTCTGTAATCACGAAACATTTTATAGCTTTTTTTCACGGAAGAGAAGTATGAAATAAGGTTTAATATTCAAATCATTTGAAAAAGTTTTGTTTGTATTTATATTACCACAATGTGTTGAATAAGCTTCTAATTAGCTTAAGTTTAACGTGAGAAGTGCAAAGTACTTGAAAGTACAAATAATTGCAACAATCATTAAGAATTAAGTTACCCAATTAGAAATGTCTAATTCCAAGAGAGAGTATTTTATATTCTACTAAAGCCTGGTTGCCTTTTGTGGTCCTCGTTCGTCTAACCAGCTGCTCGGCTGGAGCATTTCTACGAAATAATTTTCTTTTTTTGCTTTAGACTTTTCATCGTCGTCTCGTCTAGTTTACATCTTCATAGTCGCCCTGTTGCACCACAAAACTGGGCATGCAGCCTCACCCTCCCCTCGCCGAACTGTCGGTGCACTGTCACACCTGTCACTATTGTGGCTGATCACAACAACCGCCAACAATGGAGACGGTGCTAAGAGACGAGAGACAAGAGACGACCTCGCCCAGTCCCAATGACTGTCCAAGTCCTATGAACTGGCGGACAAGGTGTGAACGTCAAATAATCACCTTCGCACACGGCATGCCCACAAAAAAAAAAATAAAAAAAATAAGCAGAGACTGAAGACTGGAACAGGAAAAGAGGGGAGCTGGCAGCTTGCCTTGGATTTTCACGAGTCTCGACGTTGTCGCTTAGGTATTTGCTTTTCGTAAGAAAATTCGCGCATATTTTTTGGTTTTCTGTCTCTCTAGATATATATATATATATATATCTTTTTTTATTTATATTTTTTTAGGTTTGAGGCGTTGGCGAAATGTGTGAAATTTCAGTGGAAGACGCGGCAACAGAAAACCCAGACGCAGATGTCTGTGGCTGCGGTCTCGCCTCCAACTGGCAGCTATGCCGGTGTTTGCGACTCTTTCACTGCTGCTTTTGTTTGCATAATTATTTTATTGTAAGCACAAGGTGGCCACGCCCACAAAACTACATGCACGAGTGCGGCCCGCATGAATATTAAAACAAAGACGATTTCGTCTGGCCCCTTCGTTGTTGCTGTTGCTGTTGCCGCGAGTTGCAACTGTTTTAGCAAGTGCCCCAAAGCATCTCAGACACTCCTCACCTACACAGCAAAGTCTACACAATTTTGCTGGGCTCCCAAAAAACTTTTCTGCCCATTATACACCACTGTGCGAAAGCCGTTGCTGACTCTTCCAGCTGTAGGCATTTCTTCAATTAGCGTTTTTATTATTTTTAATTAACAATTTTGCAACTTAATCCGGCTGCATGGCGTAGTGTTGAAATTTCTGCAGAGATAATCGAATCAGGAGGGGTTCTGCTTAATGCCTGGCTAAAGTTTGTCTAAGGATAAGGCGAACAACAACTTTTGCCGAACCCGAGACATGTGCATAATTATATTAGGCACAGAGCTTCAGCACAAGCCAGCAGCAGACAAAAAGGTTCGCCCCCAATTCCTTAACGGATGTCTGACGAACTGTTGCCAAATGGCAGACAAAATAGCAGACAGGGCTGCAGGCCAATTTCAAGACACTCGAATCGAGAGCATTGGACTGAGCGAACTTAAAAACTACTGGGAATTAAGTGCTGCAGACTGGAAAATGGACAATTACTGCACAGATCCTATTACAAGTGGAAAGATTGAAACAAGTTGTAAATGCTGGGAATATACACAAAACAAAATAATATGTTTGTATACCGCAAAGCGTGCAAGGGCCAAGATTACCTTCACTTGAACTTGCACTTGATTATTTATAACAATGTGTAATAATAATATCACTAAAATATAATAGTTACACTTGAACTTGAAGTTGCACTTAATTATTTATTGTAAAAAGACTCAAGATGAATAAACAAGAGTTGGTGTTAGACCGACAGCTGCTATGAAAGCTACAAGACTCAGTGGTCCAATCAGACCGACTTAATCAGACCGACTTATAGATGCTAATGTTTATTATTTACATTATATTATTATATTAACGAGAGAGGAGTATTCTCAAGTTGATAAGAGTAAAGCTACTTTTCCTTTCGATAGGTATACACATCCACACTGGTCTCATCGCTTGTGATAGCTTTGTCAGTTGTCGCATCAATGGGCAGAAGCTCCTCGCAGTTGACGCACATCCTCTTCATGTCCCGACTGCACTCCCAGCAGAATGGAAAGCCGCATCTTGGACAGTAGACAAATTTACTATCTTCCAGAGCATTGCAGGTGAGACATTTCCGCTTTGCAACATTGTAATTTCGCAGCCAGCCAAATTTATTGGGATAGGACATACGCAGCACAAACAATATGTTGACCTCACCCTGGACGTGGCGCAAGGCCATATTCTCCTCGGCCCGAATATGCATCTCGTCGACAATGGAATTCCGTTTGCGCAATATGCTGCTGTATAGAAAGAGGATGCGTTGCTTCTCCCGCTTGTAGTAGAAGTAGCTGCAAATGACGCGACGCAATCCCATGAAGGCGGCACTCTGGAAGATCAGCAAAACGATGGCCAGATATAGGAGAATCAGCTTAAAGTAAAAGCTGCTTGGCAATACATGAGCCACTGGCAGACAAGCTTCGTTGCTCAACGAGGTGGAGACACGTTCGTGTATATTGAAGTTTTTCATTGTGGTGCGCAGCAGACGAGCCATCAGGCCAGTGCCATTTATCTGAGAGGTTAATTGGAAATGATATTGTACAATCATAAAAAAGTTAAGTTTTAGAAAATCGACTTAATTTTGGCGCCAATTGTTAGTAACCCTAGTATTCAGAAAGTACATTTCTAAAATTTGTAGTTGTCACATTCTAAAAACAATGTTCTGCATTTCTAAACTTTAGAAAGCGCAGTTTCTGATTCTAACATTACCTTTTTTGCTATCTGTATTATTATTAAACATTTGTGAAAATTGACTATATGGAAAAAGATTTCACATACATTCATAAACTAAATGTAAATGGACTAACGATTTCTAATATTTTTGTGATTGGCGAATTAGCGATTGTCTTTCTAAATTTTAGAAATTTTGTTCCTAATTTTTCGAAACAATTTCTAAGAGCTTTATTTATTTTGAGGGCTACTTACTAATATGTGGCTTTCTTTCTGAGTGTGTGATGCTTGAATTTAGGAGCTGCCTATCTTTATACTCACGCGAAAGCGAACTTCGTGCTCACCCTCCTGATGGTAAGTGATCAATGATCGTCGGTGTATGATGGTCAGTAGAGTCACAACCATGTGGTCCAGCAACAGAAACAAGCCAGCGGTAACAACCTCTAGCGAGAACTGTAACATGTACAAGCAAATATAGTTGGCCTGCTCCTGCTTGTGGCTGCATATTCGATTGACATTCACAAGCCGGGATTTCTCGTGGTTGTGCAGTGGTAAAAGTGAGCGCAATTTGGCGTCCTTGCGGCGAGCGTCTACATGCTCGAAATAGTCCGTGATGTAGAAGTTATCGAATTCAATATTGACACGATATCGATAATGGTATTCGAAGGATGCATACAACACGCCCAAGATCATTAGGCATAAAATCTTCTCAATAATCATCATGACCCACTTAAATGTGCGCCGTTTGCGCTCAAACTCCGCGATAACCTCCTCGGCCGTTGCCTGTGCACTTTGCAATTGAGCTGATGTTGATATGTTTTGTACCTGATATGTTATCTCGATATTCGTGCTATTCTCGAAGAGTTCATGCTCCGCTTGCAGCATCTTAACATATGTTCTGCCAAAATTAGCCGGCACCACCTAAGTAAGAGATGTAAAATTGGCTCTAAGGTATCTTATATCATTTAAGGTCTCAATTTACCTTGGAGGCGTCACAGATTTTATCGGGATTGCCAAACATATTGACCTTGCATATAATATCGACCCGATAGGGCCAGCATATGGCGCTTGCCAGCCAGTCTGGAAAATTGGAGCTACACTTGCGATAGCCTTGTAGGAATACCTCCTGGCAAACCTTATGTCCACTGCGCAGCTGATGCTTGCAGCGATTACGCAAATTGCGCAAAAACTGGCTCTGCACATCGGCCGCTTTGGGCAGCTGCGCATTGGAGCTGGTACTATTGGATTCCTCAACAGACATATTCGCAGCTCGTCGGGGCTTATTGTTACCAAATTTATCATCCTCAATGTCCGAGTGCTTCACGGCGTACTTGAGATCGTTCAGAATGTCCTGTAGCTGCTTGAAATTGCCTTGTATTTCGATTAAGTCATCGGCCATGTACTGCAGCGTGTTCGTAAAGGGCCTGGCCATCAGATCGAAGCGTGTCTTCGTCAGATTGTAGGTTAGCTCCGTGGTACAGGCAAACACTCGAGCCACCTCACCCGCATTTCGCACCAGGTTATCAATGGGGCCGGCAATGATCAACGCAAAGGCAACCGCACGGAAATAGCGACGACCAGCCCGGCCCAGCAGCCCCACAAATATCAGCAGGGTCACCGCACGAGCAGTGGGGCTGATCACATATAGGACTCCGTTGAGCAGCAGGAACACCACTGTCACCTTGCCCTCTCCCACAATGTGGCCGTAAAGTTTGCTTACATTAATATTGACCGAAATGAGCAGCCACATCAAATATGCCAGCAAAACACCAAGCACGAAGCTGGCCGCGATTCGCAATCGCCGTATCCAAGGGGTAGTCTCTTTTTCGTGTCCATAGAGAGCACAGTATACCGGTTTGCTTCCCTTAGCGATCGCTTTGCGAATTTGCCTTGTTATGTACAGGAACATTGTAGCAAATGTTAAGACAAGCGGATCAAAGCTGCTTTTCTACTAGAAGCTAGGTCAAAACAACTAGACTGTTATAGACTATGGTTGTTGCAGTCAGTTGCTGCTTCAAAGCGTTCTTATTTGGTCGGAAATGGAAAAGTATATTGACTTTTTTCGGGAGACAGACACTCGGAATATATTTATGTAACTAATGCGGTCGGAGATTTCTCCTCGAATACACTACACAATCGAAACCAATTCTGCAAAGATTTAACTCTCAATGACACTAAGAACTTCACCAGCTGCTCATTCATACCATTCACCTAAATCTAACTGCATATCAATAATAATAACTTGGTAATACACATAATGTGCTGGACTTAAATTAAAAAGTCAAAACTAGCAAAATGAAATATTTGTATTGAGTTACTGTAACCCAAACAATCTTACTACGCAATTATAAGCACTAACCAATTATTTTACTATCAGTTAAATAATCAGATAGTTAAAAAGATTTAATTAAATTACAAAAAATTAAATTCGAGTCTGATACATAAAAATGGAGCAGACCTCTTTTGATTGGGTGCAGACTCCACTTTGCTTTACCATTTGAATGTGTTTTCTCCAAGGATACCAAATAGTCTTTAAGAAATGTATAACAAAAAATTAAAATTAGTTTGATTACATACGTGAGAATTCCATAACCTCACATTATCTTTACTATACACAATATGATACACTGGCAGCTGGAGTTCAAGGTTAAGCAGAGGATTAACACAATGAGCTAAAAATGGCCAGAGGAAGCAGCATTAAGCTGCCTCAATTGACGCAGCTGCACTTAAAGCTCAAGAACTGCGTCGCTTTTAACCGTTTTATGGCGCACTCAAAACTGCCTCAACTGTCTCAACTGCCACACGCAGTATGCCCCATGCAACAACAGCACCAGCACCAACAATTCCCCAGTCTTCCTCTTTTTGGGGCTCCGGGCCCCGTTGTCATTTAAAAGCAGCCGCCCCAACAGAGACTGTAAATGACTGCAGCTCAGACGATGCGATGCGCTCGTTAAAAATGCCACACCAGCAGCCCAGACAAGTCCACACATTCCCAGACCCAGTCCCAGACCCAGTCCCAGACCCAGTCCCAGACCCAGACCCATACCCAGTCCCAAGCCTAGACCGGACCAGACACAACAACCTGAATAAGATGCGGCCAGTACTCACCAGTTTAATGTACGCAGTGTGCGAGGTCCTTGCCGAAAAGAACTCAGCCCAGAGAACAGAACAGAACAGAACAGAACCGAACTGAACTGAACTGAAACTGTTTGTAATCCAATTATAATAGAGCAAAGGAACTTTTGCACCTGCCTTGGCTGGCAGCCACCAACTCGTGCGGTGAGGCTAATTCTAAAATAAAAATTGATTACATGCGTGTGTCTTCGTTGCAATGAATAAATTACCGAGCTGGAGCTGGCAGCTTGTTTGTTTTGCAGGCGAACGTTTAAAAATTTATGAACTGCACCGCTGCGCGATGAAATGCATCATGCAGCCAGAGCAGAGTCAGCCAAATACTATAACCTACCAACTCGTAGCCACTTCCAATGGCCAGCTCCAAATTGGTGCAGTTTGCTCGACGAGCTTGGCGATGCTACTCGCTGCATATTAAACAGGCAACTCGCAGTTTGCAGCTCACAGCGGCGGCACTTCATCAGCAGGAGTCGTGCTAAAAAATTGATTGATCCTTGAAGTGCAACTGAAATTCGCTGGATACTCGTAACTGCGACCCGGGACCTAAAGCTCTAGGCTGGCACTTTGACGACATCATCTCATGGGTGTGGTGTGTGGCTGTCAGATGCGCAGCGCACGCATTAAAACAATTTTAAATTCCTAAAGACTAACACTAGGCGTTGCACAGTGGTGCAAATCAATGAATTACTAACTTTAATTCAATTTCTGCATGTTTAACTTCAAATACGTACAAAATCCTCATAGATAATTTATTATCTAACAAGTAAACTATAACTTTTCAAGTTCACCCACTGTGGTTCAGGTTTAGGCCAGCATGAGTAACCTTTAAATGCATGAAATTGTCAAAGCAATGGCAATGCTTTAAGTTGCCGGCATAAAATTGCTTTTGACGCAGACAAAAAAGGAATCATTGCCAGCCAACAGGGAACAGGGAACTCCGCCCACTCGACAGACTGACCGACGAGTCAGACCAGGCAGGATAGCAGGCAGGCAGTCAGTCAACTCGAAAACCGAATGAATGATGAATTGCCTGTCACTTGCAATTTTTGTAGCAGACAACACACAGCTACAATGTCGGGCTTCGTATTCGCCTTGTTTAAATTGTTCATGTTTTTCTAAGCCGACTATAGAGCACAGGGGCCAGGATCTGAACGGCAACTATAATGCTCCACGGTGACAATACTCAATACTGACTGCTGACTGCTTTTACGGAATTTGCGTTAAAGAGGCGGCAACATCATTGTCAACCTACGCGTCACCAGCTTTTTGATGCTGGCCAAATATTTTTGTTTGGTCACAACCGCAAAATTTAATTGGGCGGCAACGGCTCAAAATATGAAATATTTTTGTAGGAAATATCGAAGAAGAATGTCTGGAATTTTGAAGAAAGGTTTGGCAAAAAACAAACTTAATTAATTGGCAAGGAAGAAGGAGAATTGTCGTTATAAGTTACAAATACAAAACTTAGCATTTAATAATAAGGGTGCTCTAACCGAGAATTTCCAATATATTTGTATTTTGTGTGGACAGAAGTCGTAAAACAGACTCAAGTTTCGCATGGAATACGAGAACCAGCACATCATCTATAATATCTGTAACTCAAATGTTACCCAAGCTCTACATATCTATATAACTATCTTTAAGATTTCTATGTTTAATTCTAATAATTAAAATTGTTTTAGAATATAAACAAATACATATTTAACTTACTTTTATCCACTGACAAAAATTGATATTCCTTTTCGAATTGTTTATTGATATTCAGAAATATAATTTGATTACATCTATGCAAAGTCTTTTTATCTAAGATCTTTTCGAAGCAACGAAAGAGACTTGCCACCTGCTCTGAATTAAACTAACGTTTTCAGCTGACAACTTAAAGCCAATTAGCGCCACTAATAAAACGCAATAAATCAGCCCAAATTAACCAAAACACCACAATAGGAAAGGCAACAGAAATGTGTACAAATAAAATTGTACGCAGTGCACTCTGCACATTTGTCAAAGAATTAACCCTTTGCAAAGAGGTTAGAAAAATAGCGGCCAATATGAAAATGACATTAGCCAAGCGTCGCCAGACTGTGGCTAGACCGAAAGCAGACAGGGGAGGTAGATAGAGAGGGAGACAAGGAGAGGGGCAGAGACAACAGGCTGGCAGCCGGGGAGGCTCGGGGTTCGAGCCTGTGTCTATGTCCGTGTTAGCTGTCTACACGCAAAACCACTTTTAACTCGTTTACTTTATTTATGGCCATAATTTGTTAAGCAAAAGGTCGAAAACTAAACTGGCGACAAGAGGGCGCAGCTCTCGGACGGACTCGGACTCGGACTCGGAATCGGTCGCGAACGTGGACGTGGACGTGGACGTGGCAAGGTGCGATGCATAATTAAGATAATAAAATATTAATTAAAATTAAGTTCATGCATATGCAAACACAGCAGCATAGCAGCAAAGCCCAACGAGAACACAAACCAAGTACAAATATTTGCGTTTTGCTCCGTCCGATCATCATCACGTTGATTTGAATGGGGAATGATAATAAGAGTAACGCCGACGTTGATAGCCTCGTTATTGGCACTAGCGACACAAATGAGACTCACATTAATTAATTAATTAAAAATGCACAGAGAGTTTTTCATTTCCTTTGGTAGGCTTTATGCAAATCCCAAATGCCTCCACATTAGCCAAACAAATACTCTGTGCACCTGTCCGAAATAGACGTCCTCCCCCATCAGGGGAATCCAACAAATGAGTGGGACGAAAGGTGTTTCTCGAATGTGTTGCGAAACCGAATCCGCGGAGGCAACAGACGTTTAAAAATGTCAATCAGAGATGAGAATTTTAGATACCCAAATAAACTCAAAGCATATTGGTATTCATTCTCATCACATAAAAACATTGCGAGTAAAAAATTTGGAAAAAATAAAAAAAAAAGTTGTGAGACAGTACAATTTGAGAAAAGCAATGCATTGGAAATTAAATATATGATCATCAAGTAATATAATAATATCCAGCGCGTCTTGGGAAGAGCATATAGATATCGGCATAGCGCAATTTAATTTTATTTCTCACATTTGTTTGGAATACTTTGTCGACTAATGGAAGTTTGCTGTTTGCCTTCGGCTTAGCAGTATATTCTCAATCAAAATATAAAAATAAATAGATAAAATAAATTGAAAAAACCTCAAAGCGCGAAATGTGATACATTGTGGTTTTTGAAGTTGGCATCTTTCACTGCCCACAATTTACTTCACCGTTGGTATTTATAGAGAATATTTTGTTGTAGCCAGGCGCTTAATCACTTTACCTGTCACATATGTGGGTATATAATTGCTGAATATTTCTTCCCCTTGGGCAATTTTGAACGTCAATCGGGCCGTGTCTGAAAGCGAAAGCAGCGTTCGTTTCCCGTAGCAACCCTCAAATTATTTTTAATCCAAAACTTTTGACACACAACAATTGAGCCGCCACAGTAGACTGAAGATCGAGGTTCGCCCATGATTGATGACGACCCGCGTCCAGTTCTGCTCAGATTCTGTGTTTGTGCTGCATTAATTAACTAATTTAGTTTTTTTTTATTATTATTTTTTTGTTCGTGCTGGCCAGTGTTTTGATTCGAAATTTATGCAGACACACTTTTTTATTTTTGTTGCTTTTGCAGAAATTATGGACATGTAGAGCCCATGTCACGGCCTTATCGCTAGCTTTCACTCTTCCCCCTCCAATTTGATGTTTATTTTTGGAAAACACATTGTCATAATTCACGCTTGACGCACGCC